GGCCCGTCGCTCGGCGACGACTGGAGAAATCGGGGACGTCGCATTTCATGGAAACGGCACGAATCCATTTAATATATCAGCCAAGACGCCGGCACCACACGTCGCTCGGGAATCGTTCGATCCGCGGTGAGAAATCTTGGTGAAAATCGGCTTTCGACAGACATCGTATCATCCGGTGTAACAGGCGAGCGACTTTTCACGATATACCGGCGCGAGTTATTGATATACGCGCGGCGAGGAAGTTTCCAGCGGTGGCGAATTTTTTCGAAAGCAGCATCATTTGAAATATTCATCGCGCTAGCGTGTGCAGAGGTCGGTGAAACAAGTGGAACGAAGTGAAATCTAGTCGTGCGTTTTCACGGTTTGCGGAGTTCCGACTGCATGATTTTTTCGAACGTTTAAAAACACCCTTTTAATACCGCGCGACTGTTTTTTCTTTTTTTTCTTTTTTTTTTTTTTTTGTTTCAATTTAACGAAAAAACAAAACTGTTATCGATGTTCGTGCAACTTGGGTATTAGGATTTATAAAACAGATATCTGTGTAGTGCACGAAATTCATGTTCTTTCTTGTTTCATTTCATTTTATCTTCCAATGCCCGTCTGTTTTGGTAACTGTTGACTAAATTTTAGGATAAAATCATCTTTTATATGTGTATCATGTTTTTTCGGCAAATAACTTTGTACAGATGATGATGCGTAAGACGTATAAATTATATTTATGAATAAAATGACACAGGACTTATGTGTATCCGTTCATTTTTTTCAGACTTCTGAGTATGTTGAAAAAAAATATCTCGGTCGTCACAGATATGTTACAATTTCATTTGTGTATGTGTACAGTTGTGGTTAAATTATTAAAGTCGCTAATATTCTTATAAATGCATAAGAAAAATTATTCTTAAACGTCAATCTGGACAACATACACCAAGACCAATTCTGTTTATCCGATTTCTTTAACAATCGCAATATTTTTCAATTTCTCCAACAGACAAATAGTCAATTTCATATTTCGAAGAACCATCGAAATTGTCAAAGAAGTATTTCGTACAAATTTATTTATTAAAACAATTCATTATCCTAAACTACGCGCATTCGTGATCAATTGCATAATTGCTTTTATGAAGAAGAAAATTTTCCTTCACTAAACCCAAATTGCATTCACTAAACCCACTCTCGTTTTCTTTCCTCTTCATTAAATCTTCCATTCTTTTATTATTCTGCTTCTTACGTGCTCTATAGCAACGACAAAACACCATCAATCGTTCCTCTAGCAACAGTGAATATCGCAACCGCACTCGTCGATATCCAAACGAAATCTTAAATGAACCTCTCCGAAATATCGGATTTCAGCTTCTTAAAACAACACGAAACCAGTGGGATCTCGTTAAATCAACACTGTGGTGAACATGGTAGCGGGATAAGATTAAAGCGGCCCGAAATATTCAAATATGTACGCACACACATCCTCATATATCTCTCGAAAATAACATACAATCATCCAAATCCAGTCTTGGTTTTCGCAAGCAGGGAACGTCAGGCGGATCAGATTGCAGCCGTTCATATTTTTCGGATCGAATAACAGATCGGATCCCGTTGGAGATTCTAATCCGAACTGGAAGGCAAACGAAACCCGGGTGCACGTTTGCTCTTTGCACGCGATACGCTGAGTCGCGTGTAACACACACGTACACCCCTATCCATACGTCACTTGTTCATTTGGAATAAAAAGATTATTACGACGACGTAATAGTCGCCTAGGTAAAGATCGGTTGATCTTGTTTCATTGCGTTTATCTGAATCACGTCTTACAACGCGAAATTAATTTTTACATTGGTACACGACGTGCACATTAGTAGATTTGTGAAAGAGTAAAGTTGCCTCTTGGCTGTTTCACATTTGTGATAAAATGTTTGGTTAAATAACGCAATTCCTTCTGATCATCTAAAATCTCTCTGATTAATTAAAAAACGGAGAGATTTTCCACTTGTTTCGTTGTATTTATTTATTTCCAATCAATTCTCTATTGCAATTTTATAGAACTACCATAACAACAAATTTCGTTACTTTCAGTTGAAAAACTACGTGACTTGCGAATGTTCTGACAAATTATGTCTCATTTTTTGTCCCAAATTGCAACATTTTCTCAGTTCTAAGTATATTTGAATGTAGAACCCAGGCTGAACAAATAATAAGTTTATTATTTCTTAATCATTTCTATCCGACGAGTTCAAAAGAAGGAGAAAGCAACGAAACAATTGTATACGGTTCGGTCACTCGTTATGGTCCGCGCAACCAGTTGCCAGCGCAAGTGTTCACATACATTCTCATCAAGAAAAAGCATACTTGCACATTTTCGAGTAGCGAATACGCAAACCGGTACGTTTAACCAGTCGTTTAACCAGGCGTTTTGATTCCCGATCTGGACGAGTTCATAGTCCTCGGCTCGTTGTCGCGGTTATCCTTGGAGGAGCAACGTTATGGCAGCTTGTTCCCCCGGGGAATCGATCGGAAAGGGAGAGCGTAGGTAGAGAGCGAAGAGAAGAGAGCTCAGACAGGATGGGAGGGCGAGAGAAAACGAAGCAGCAACGTCCACCGCCTTCATCGAGATTTAACGCCGGCATTTACATTTAGAAGAGCTTGTCGAGGTGTTGTTTGCTAATCGAATCCGGAAAATGGTGCTCGCTAGCCGTAAGATTCGTTCTGAACGTTGTAAATACGTCCGATCGGCAGCTCGATGCTCCGTCCATCGTCGAGCTTAACAAAACCACCGTCTGCCACCCGGCCAGACCTCTTTCCCAAGTTCCATCCGCTTCGAGATCACTTCGAGGTCACTTGCTAATAAATTCCCTTCGTGGAATCGTTCCCTTCGAACCGTGTTGTTCATTGACGACTTGTTAGACTATGCGTGTAAGACGAGAGAGAAATTTATGAAAATGAAATTGACGAATGTAAGCAACGAACAAAATTCAATATTGTACGACGGCTATATAAAAATTACGCGGAGATATTTTTAAAATGGTCGTGTACACGAGATCAATTGTTTTCATTTTTATTCGGAGAGTGTGGAAAAATTTGAATATTCAAAATGAACTTATTCTTTATAAAATGATTGGAGATGTTATTTAACGCAGTGTAACGTCGATTTAGTACCATTAGTTCTTTTAATGCCAGTATCGAATGAATTTCATTCAACAGAGACAAAACTGTAGTAGTACCTAGTAGTTTGAAAAGTTACATATCTATTTGTTACGAATTGCGTAATACAATTTTTCTCGATTAAAAGTCGAGGAATAAATTTTGGGATGTAACATTTCTGCAATTAGAAATATCTAACGCGGTGTCGTTTACTTAATCCAAACCGGAGGGAGATCTTAAGCCGTTAGATTCGTGAATTGACATTGTGTGAACACGTTCGAACGGCAGCTCGATGCTGCTCCGTCCTTCCGGCGAGCTTAACAAAACCATCGTCTGCCACCCGGCTAGACCATCTCCTCCAGTTTCTCGCTCCGAGCAGCAGCTCCCGTTGTTCGTTCTTTTTCGTTCGAATAATGGAGAAACATTTCAGAGATTGGCCATGCCCTCGTTCCCTCCGAGGGTTCGTTAAAAGTCCCCTGATTTCCCTCCTTTTCTTTTTTCGTTCGGTATTCACGGGAATGGGGATCGGAGTCGCGAGACTCTTCGGTCTGGTTGGCTCAAAGCGATCGCGATAAAGGGACAGAAGCTGTTGGAGGAAACGGTCGATAGAGGAACGGAATTTTTCTTTCCTTTCCACGCGATTTGTTTGCCATGGTGTTCGATGGACTGTTCGGTGGTCTGAGGTACGAGTGTAGCTGCAGTGAATGGCTTTGAAAGGAGCAGTGATTCGAATCCCTTTGTCGTACCTTCATTGTCAATTTTAATCGTTATTGTGTTAACGTTCGCGGAAACTTACCGTTTTGAAACTTCACTAACCATGCGACTGAATGAATAGTTATTGGCATTACAGTGAAATTTGGTCGATCAGTCAAAAGTTTAGTGCAGGTTAAATGACGACTTCATCTGGAAATATTTTATTCGTAAAGTTATTTTTCATTGTACTAATGCTAATACTAAAATTAATTAAGATCAAAGTAATTGTACTTAAATATCAAAGTTCTATATATTACTATTAATTGTGTATAATTAGACAATTGCATATACACATACTTATTAATTATATATTATATTTATATATCAAAATTGTAATAATAACATTCTTGTTTAAAAAAAAAATGTAAGAAGTATTTTTATTTCTTTTAAAAAATAAGGAATGAACTTTTTATTGGATAAAAGTTATCTAATATTATAAGAATACACTACTTTTTGTAAATGTATTCATCCATTTAATAGTGTGTACGTTTATTATAACCAACCTTTCACTGGTGTGACTTTAAATTTCATTGCTTGTGAATAAATTTACTTATCAAATTAGTATGCTCATACATTGGCTAGAAAGTGTATAAATCTATCAAATTCATCACGACGATGAATGTCATATGACATGGTTCGGTTACTTTCATTTCTAAAATTTCTTAAATATCCAAGACACGTAGAATCCTAATGTTTTATTCAAAGAATTCATAAATACGAAAATCTAGAAATATAAATTAAGGACGGTCGAATTTATAACTCACTCGTCACTGCCATAGTGTTTTAATAGTTACTTTAGTAGATGTCTTTTCAATCGAACAGGAGCTCGCTGCATTTTAAAAACCCGTGTTAGATTTCTACTTTATTATTCTACATAAATATTCATAAATGTTCATAAATTCACGAGAAATTCTATTTCGCACGTGTACCTTTGCACATGTAAAAAATTACACATATATATGTTAGTAAAATACTTTAAATTCTGTTTTAAAGGATCCAGCGATAACTTCAATTTAAAAAAAGAAAAAAACACTAAAGTATAGTAATAAACGACATGGAGAAAGAGCGCTTAACAAAGACGATGAACTAACTTTTTTTATTTTCATTTTCAGCTTCTAGCCGGCAATAATAATCCGTACTCCGAGAAGGAGCAGATCTTCGACCCAGCGATCGTTGCCACGAAAGTCCGTTTCATCCCTTACACGTCGCATATGAGGATGGTGTGCATACGAGTGGAGCTGTATGGTTGTCCATGGATCGGTGAGTGAAATTCGTCACAATTACTTTCGCCTCTGGCAGTATCTGGCTGCTTAATTCGCGACGCACAGGCCAAATGTTGAAAAGAACGACGCGACGGTTCGTTCGACGTCGAGCATTTTTACCAGGCTTTCCATTTTATCGGTTCGACGAAGGAAACTTCTTAGTGGTTGGAAACGTGGTCGCACGACCGTATTTCCTGCGTCCTGCCACCGTCGATTTTCATGCCTCAAAAATCTAATACTATTCTCTGGCCGTCGTTTCCGGCTTACCATAATTCCGGTTCCCTCTTCCATTGTGGTAAACGCAATAAATAGTCGCATGAAAAACTCGCTTTGAATGGAGAAGTGGGTTACTCGATTTTTACCTATAAAACTACTTTCAACGGTCGTGATAGAAATGAAATACACTTCCTCTCGTGTTCGGTTGGATTAGCGTAAAGCCGATTTCTGTAAGTAAATTTTATGGATGTTTACGCCAAAAGTGTGTAAACGTACGATACACGCGTCATATGTAAAAACGTGCTATAGATCGTAATAAGGGTTCGTTTTTTGAAATAAACGTTCACGTGCACGTAAAATGTTGAAACATTGGAATCGTATGCAAACAGATAGAAATTTGGATAAGGGAAAATTCGCATCATTACGCCAATCATTCCACAATATATAAATATAAATGCAGCACACTTTTTGAAATTGAACTGGCGAATCAAATTTTTCCACCAGATTCCATTTTTATCTACGAGTCTCGAGTCTCGTTCAAAACCACAGATTATATTAACTAAAATCATCTCCACGTAATCCAAAACTACTCTTCATAGAATTTAATAGAAGGATAATTGAATTTTCCTCCAGATTTCATTTCTTCAGCGATGCTCACGGAAGGAACATAAATTTCCACGAATCTCGAGTTTCGTTTCAAATTTAGAGGACTGTATTAAAATTTACGATCTCGGTTGACGAGATTTAATCTAACTCTTTACAAAACTCAAAGAATAAAATCCAAGGAAAATTACGAGTAAAAGTTATAATTAAATATTCAAAAATTACTATAACATTTACAAAGGAAGAACATAATATTCACATTGTATAATATTAATGGAAAAACATAAATTTCACATTCTACGTACAAGTCTCAAATTTAAAGGACTATGTTAATCAAAATTTATGATCTCGGTCGATGAACACTCGTTAGATCAGACTTCGAATCGATTCACAGTCTCGTTCGCTACCGGAACTTTCAATTTTAATCATTATGGCCATTCCACGTATCGATATTGCTCGTAATTGTCTGACATTGTAAGAAATATTTACACCGGCGACGGTTTATTCCCCATTATTATCGAATTGCTCGTTCTCCCAAGTTACGCTCGTATCGGGGAGAGAAGCGCATTCACGCGGTTGAACTATGGGATAGCGTCCGCTTAAAAAAACGTTGCGCGAATTATCAAGCGAACGATATTTTCATTGGGGCGTCGTTACCGGTGAAAAACAGCCTGGCCGTAAACGAGTACTTGCGTGTATTGAATTTCGGTTGCTGGCTCTGGTGGTTGTGCAATTACTGTACAGCAAGAACGAAAATATTTCTCCATATGCCGGAACGGTGATTGTAGTCGAAATTACTGCAATCGCGACGCGCACGACCCTCGATATTATTCTCCACAACGAGAGTGTGCATGCGTATTGCACTCTCGTTGTAAAAAATTTTGGAGCATTTCAAAAGAATTAATTACTTTTTAAACATTTTTGGAACGCGTTCTGCCGTTTGTGTTGCAGTATATTCGACCTAGATACAAATTAGATACAAATTCATACAAATTTGCACTAAAGATTTTAAGTTCATATTAACTGTACTATATAGAGTGTAGTGTGGTATAGTATAGTATATTACCAATACTGTATTTAACAAAACTACAAATTTAGCGAGGTTTCGTAAATGAAATGATATAACTATATTGTGCAGTATATACATAGAAGGTAAATTGACCGATTAGTAACGACGGAATCCAGAAAAAAAGACCCTACGGATAATAATACTTAATTACTATATTAACCGGATCGTGTGGAGCTTGAGAGAAGACTAATTAAATTTTAATTAAATTTATTGAATTTGAGCTACGAATTTTTCCACCGATAAACTTCAAATAAAAAAATTAGGTAGATTATGCTCCAAACAGTACATAAACATTCAACGTATACAGGAAAATACCGTCAAGCTTCTTATCTCATCTCTTCTTTCAAGGAATAAATTCGAGGTATTCGTCGTTATGGCGCGACCGTGTGCATTAAAATTGCATTTGGTTATTTCACGGGCGAAAGAGTGGAAACTTGTACCGCTTTCTTCCGTCGCTGATGTCTGTCAGTTCGCGTCGAAGGTGAAAGCTCGCGAATAAAAATCATTTCTCTGTATACGTCCCGTCGAACGCCACCCGTTTCTCCAAACGTCAATCCCGAACGCGTTGATAAGGACGTGCGCCGATTAAATTACGCGACTCCTGCGTAAACTCTTGAATAAAAGCTTTTTAACTGAACGATGGCTCGGCGAAACGGCTTTTAAATTAAATCCAGGCGTTTAAGCAGTGAGACATTTCGAAACTTTAAGCCCAGAGTCAAGTGGAAACTTGTAAATTTATCTTGACGTCTATTTCTTTCAATCAGACGTGCGTTCAAGACCGGCTTCGACCGAAGTGGATCGATCTTTATTTCCCGCCGCGATTTTACCTTGCGATTCGTCGGACCAAAATTATATTTTATTATTTGTCTCTACTTGCGTCTACATTTGTGATTGTAATTGACACGTTACGAGGCAAATTGATGATGTGTTAACTACGATCGATCGAGTTTACTTGTCATTTCAATTTCTAATTGGGAAACACGTGAATTGTAAAGTATATAATTTTATTTCTGCTTTGGTCGAAATAAATATTAATTCTATCGAGTATCTGCGTTGCTGGCAACTGTAAAAAATAAAATATTTAAAGTGATTCGTGATTCCAATCGAGATAACGCAGTATCACATATTTTAAAACGTGATTTTATATAACTGAATCACATAATTTATTATAATGGAAATTGCTGTAAAAAAAAGAAATTACTGTCGGGCTCTAAAAAGATTCTGTATTCTGAAAAAGAAATTCAAATTCTGCATTAAAAGATTTTAATCCAGCATCTAAGAATCTTGAATCCAGCGTTTAAGAATCGAGAGAGAGAAAGAGAGAGAGAGAGAGACCCCGCAAAGTTTCTGAAATCCAACGAAGAACAAGACAAAATCTACGTAACAATCGTCCTTCAATTATTCACAAGAGAATCACGTCGAAATGTTATAAGCAACCACAGCGCGCTTGCACACCGGTTTTAAAAGTTTCCGCGTCTCTTGTGGACGTGCGCTGTATTCAACAACCGCGCGCAATCTTATCACGTATCATCCGGGAATAAAATGTCTGTCTCATCGCCGCGATGATGCATAGTTCACGAGTGTGTATACCACTGTTGCTCTGACTGTATCCTCTATCCCTTTTCTTCCGTTTGGTTGCAGAGGGTCTGGTGTCGTATTCCATGCCCCAAGGAATCAAGAGGGGCTCGGAGGTTGACCTCTCCGACAGGACGTACGACGGCCGGGAAGAAGCAGGCTACCTCTCCGGGGGACTCGGTCAACTTGTCGACGGGCAAAAGGGTCCTGACAACTTCAGATTGGACGTCAGTGGTAACGGGAAAGGTGAGCTGCCTCCTGCTGCAATCCAACGAGATTAACGCTAGATGTTTGATCGTGTCCAGATTAGCGCGTCCAGATAGAGCCGTCCTGCCGCGTTTCGTGCTCGCGAGCTACCGGCTCGTTTGTTACGTCGTTTCTTCTTTTTATCATTCGCGACTCTTTCTTCCTCGCTTTCTCTTTTCTTGTTTCCTCCTGGTTTCTTTGGCGCGAGAGGATCGTTGTTGAGATACGGGGGTTTGAATTCGGGGTTAGGAGCTAATAACGAGCGAAGAAAATTGGGGGACGGTGCGCGCGGTGGAAAGAAAGCAGGATTCGTTTAAGTTAACTAGCTTGGGTTCGTGTTATTTGCCTTTTTTCCCTCCACCGGTATTAACAATTCCACTCCGGGCTGTTTTCTCGAGTGTTATTAAATCTCAATTGTAAATTCGCTGTTTCGTTTCGACGGTGGAATTAAATTTGCCCGGGTGTTATCGAACTGCATAAATATTGCAACAGCAGGGTGTTTCTTCAACTCAGGTCAGGAACGCATCGATGATAAAGAAACTGCATGGAGAAGCGAGTTGTTTTCCTTGTTGCTGTAAAAACAGCGCATCGAACGTCTCATCTAGTTATATATTCATTAAGTAAATATGTTCTTAATATGTTCTATTAAGTAAAAATGCAATTACTTTGGATTTGCTTACGTTGGATTTGCTCGGAACAGTCAGTCATGATAACCAAATTTCGATGCAATGTTAAATTTCAAAATATTTCACACGACACAGCTAGTACATCCATAAAACGTTTGCATATTTTCCTGAGAAACTGCACATCGCTCATTGGATATTGTCTCTTCTAACATCCAACCATACCACATAATTCGCACAGTCTAACGTCTCGATGCGAACGAACTTTTCCACCCGTCGATTTCAGGTGTGTGGACCGGTCCAGACAGCGATAAGAGAGTTTGAGAAAAGCCGCCCGAACCGGTGTTCCACGCCGTACTCGAATCTGTTCCAATTTACATTTATATTGAACCGCAGGCTAGACTGCAAGCCACACGGCTGTTTACCGGCTCCCAGGATACATTTGTGTCTTTCCATTTACGGGACGGGTCTTGGCCACGTACTTTCAGCTTCTTAAACTTTTAAACCCGTCGAGACTGCGTGGCGCAGCTTCTCCCTTCTCTCTTCTCTCCGTTTGTAACGTTGGTCGCACTCGGAGTCTCTCGGATCGAGAAGAATCTTGGCTCGTTTCATCCAAAGGCAGCTGCGGCTGCATCCTACGGATTCTATTTTCCCGGAGAGAGAGAGAGAGAGAGAGAGAGAGAGAGAGAGAGAGAGAGAGAGAGAAAGAAGAAGGACCTTCCGTGGAAATATTTCTTCAGTTCTAATCCGGTCGTGGATTAGGCATCTAACTAAAGGAGTCGTTGTTTCGGTTCGTTGTCCCGTGAAACTTACTCTCGCGTTCTCGTTCTCGTTCTTGTTAATAAGTTTCCTTGGTTCGCGCGGGAGGCCAGATGAGGGCACGACGCGATCAAAATGTCAGCGGGAAACGGCTCGTCGCCGCTGGAGTGAGTAATTAGGTCATTAGGTAATAACTTTCAGATTGCAGTTTAGCGAGCGCCAAGGCGAGGACAGGCACCATTGCCGATTCCAATATCGCCGGGATCGGAGTCTGACGGAGTGTTTCGCCAAGTTTCCCCCCTTTGCTTCGGCGTCACTTTGGTCGCGCTCCCCTTGTTAATAAATTTCCTTCGTAAATTATTCCCTCCGCGAGCCGTGTCGTTGAATGGCGACTTGTTACTCCGTCGCCTGGTAAATATTAGATTCGTCCACATCAGAACGTCACGCCGTTTCGTACAGTCGAATTTGAATCGCGTGTTTCTTCAAAATATCACAGACTGTTTTCGATATAACGATTGTTTCATTTCGATATTCCTTTTAAGAATTGTCAATTTTAGAATTGAAAAGTGGAACGTATAATTATACGTATAATTTCTTTCTAAATGTCTTCAAAAAGTTGTCAGAATTAAAAAATTGTGGAATGAAGGATATTGTCCTGTAAAATAATCATTGCAACCGTAGAATTAAAATTAAAATTCACGCACTTACAAACAGAAATCTGTGGACGAAATACTCAAAATGGGGCACAATGAATAAAAATCTCAATCTACGAAATTACACTATCCGATCATCCAATATTTCGCTAGAATCGATCATCTTTAAATCTTTGAGAATTTTATTCCAAAGCCAAGTAAGAAAATCTCAGTGATGGAAAGTCGATCGACAGCATGTATTAAAGGCGACAGCATGTATGAGAGGCGCGAGTCATCGCGTTCTTCGTTTATCTCGTTTACGTTCTCTTTGGAAATCGACGACACGCGAGTTTTACGATCGCTACACGCTCGAGTCGTGCACAGCTTTGGTTTAAGTGAGAAAATCATCAAGCTGAGCAGAGTTCGTAGCGTGGTGTGCATTCGTGGCCTCGGTGGTTATCTTACCACCCTTCTGAATGTTCAGAATTGATGGTAGATAGCGGTCGAAAACGACGACAGGAAACTGGAAACTATTTACCCGAGGGACGATATTATGGGTGGAGTTTACACGACGGATAGATCATAGCGATTTAACAAGGGCGCGCCGGTCGTGAACATTGTCGATCGAGAGGGGAAAGCAGACAGCAGATAGAAAATTCGAGTGCAGAATGTTCGATTAATACGAATTAGCTCGAATCGAGACGGAACGAGCGAAATTGTTTAACTTTTAATAAGCTACGACGGATCGAAGTAGGACGTCTGTTCGAGCCCGAAATGGAACTGTTTCCGCTCGTGATGTTACGTTTCTCTTCGTCTTTGTTGTCCTCATGGAGAACAGGAGATGAAAAGAAAAAAAAACTCTCATCATGGTGTGATGCATTCGCATAGAAAACGAGAAAAATTGATACGTGCAAGAGTATTCGTGCATTTGATGAAAAATTAACGACATTTTAAACTGTTCAGACTTTGTGAACAAAATCATACAATAATCTAATCAGTTGACCTCAAGCACGGGATATTTTCGCTGTCGAGATTTAAACGTCACTGAAAAATTTGTTTGTGACTAAATATTTTGATGATCGAAATCTTCCCTTTACAATAACTCTTAAAAACTTGCAGTACGATTTTCTTTCGCCATTTTATGGACCTTTGAACATCAAAGTCGAACGAGAAAAATTGAAGAAATCCTAACCATTTAACTCTAATGATTGAACGCTAATAAAATGGCGAGAAACAAAATCGTACTGCAAGTTTTGAGGGCTCCGTAACGACATTTCTGTTATAGCATTTCCTACGTTGGGATTGACAAATTTTAATTTCGCAAATAAAACTCGGAGAAACATATTGGCGTCTCGCAGTATTAAGCGTGCAACGACATTTTTTGTTAATCTAGCGTTTCGTATGCTGTAATTAAGAATTTTTTATTTCACGGTGGGAAAAATTGAAACGTAAATAAGAGAAACAATTACGGAGAGAATCTTGATACCTCATTGCACTAAGTGTGTAACGATATATCTGCTGATGTAGCGTTGCGTTTCGTGCACTGTAATTGGGAATTTTTAATTTCACCAGGGAAAAATTGTAACGTAAACAAGAGGAACAATTATGGGAGAGAATCTTGGTAATTTTTAATTTCACGAGGTTTTAGGTTCTGTTATTGTTGTGCGGGACAGAGATTCAGAATCCTCTTTTAAATTTTGCACAGTAATAAGATGTAAGGATATGTAAAGTGATAGTATACGCCATATTGCAAGAGTTATTAAAAATCTGTGGTATTTGCCGATTAATTTCATGGAAAGATCTCACCTCATTAATTCTGACGAAATTTATCAGTTGTTGCTACTGATAGTATCTGAAACGTAAACGATAAGTTTCGTTACCATTTGTGTCGTAAATTTTCGAATCGTCACATCATATTCAGTCCATACATGTAGTACAAATAGAGCAAAGGATTATAGCAAGATCCACGGTGCTTCTAATTACGACGTGATTTACAAGAGACTTGCTTGTTCTCCCCAGCTCCACGTTGTTCGTAATAAACTTCTCGAGCAGTTCGTTCCGGCAAATTCACATGGAATTCGTAAAATCGCGCGCTGACGAAAGTTCGGCAGGGAAAACCGCAGCCAGCGTCCGGTTAAAGGCCGGAAATTCGAAACGAACCGCGAAAAGTAAGAGAGAAACCGGGTTCGGAAAAACGCGTAACTCGCGGTCGCTGCTGGCTTTAGGGTTATTGCAGTCCATTTTCAATCTGCGTCCCCCCCCCCCCCCCCCCCCCCCCCCCCCCCCCCCCCCATCCCGTCCAGCTCTCCCCATAGGAGGACCGTGGTGTGCGTTCGTGCGCGAATACTCGAAAATCGTGGTGTCTGGGCGTCGAGAATCCGTGCAATAACTGCCGCTGCGGCTCCGCGCCGCGAAACTCTTCCATTCCCCGAAACTGTATTTCGTTACACTTGCGGCGCATGTATCCACCGACACACATTTTTAAAATAAAACCGCCGGATCTGTACGTATAAATCTGAAAAATAACGTTCTTCTCAACAACCCGGGAACTAGGACACCGAAAGTTCACTCGAATCGTAATTAAAACACGAATATGCTTCAATCTTTTTTACACTGTTTTTTTTTTTTTTTTTTTTTTTGAAACTAGCATCGAATAATCTCTCGGCGTGTCGCAGGCAACAACTATTCGAGCAATTCTTCTTTTCGTATAAATGTTCGAGATAATATTCCGTCGATGCTCTTTCTCAATTGTTCATTCAGACATTAAGAAATCCATTGATCGTGATGAATCTGAACTCCCCTCGTGCGCTCACATTCACTTGTGACTTATATAGTTCAAGATTTCTAAAAGGTTGTCTCTCAACTCTTAATAAAAATTTGGAATTGTGCGTTCAGCTCGCATGCTGAGTATTGTTCAAATAGTTTTATAACCAGTAATGAAGTAATTCATTTAGTAGAGGTTTAAAGAAGATAACTAAAGATATTATAGTATATTGAATAAATACATGTCATTCAGTATTAAATTTTTAGACTTTTGGGAATTTTAAGCCAAACGGTTAAGTAAATCTGGTTTGAAGATTCTAATTTGAGAAAAGAAAAGAAACTTTATTTCTATTGAGTATATTTATTTAATCGAGTGATCTTATTTTATAGTAAGTAGTATAGAATAACACTACTATAGTGAGTAAATAAATCTAGAATGGAGCAATGTCACAATAGTTTTAGCTAATACAGTGTAAAAGTTGTTCCACGAGATGCTAACGTTCTGCAAAATTATGGTATCCGTGTTTGATTAATTCTAATTTTGAGATTTCATAGATCTCTATCTATCACAGTTATTAATTAAATAAAACATGCGAAATAAAAATTCGAAAACATTCACGAAACAGTCATTATCTCTGCTCCAGGTAACGCCCGCGGAAATACTAATGCAAAGATAATATAATAGATTTACATCGTAATTACATTGTAATCCTTTTAGATAGAATGATGAGGGTATTTGAGATAATATTTCGCCGGCGCTTTCAGCGCGGGGATCGATATTGGTTCAACTAACAAAGATAATTCCTGGAAATTAGCAGCAATGGCAAATCGGGGAATATGAATTAGGGGGATCGTTGGCCAGCTACGTTGCCTGTTCCTGATACTCGAGAACCGGCGAGTCGGTTTTTCAACGAGTCACAAAGGTTGATTGTTAATCGGTGGGCAGAGGCTGGTCGAGGTAACGGGGTCGGCAGAAAGAGAGGAGAAAAGTTGGAAAAGCGATGAAGACAGGAACGAGGCTTTCGTGCGAGGCGTTCTAGTGGACTCGTTAGTAAGGCTTAAACAGACTTTACTTTAGGGACGAGCGTGTTTCATGGGTCTTTCTAGTTTCTCCTTTTTATCGAGCGCGCGTGTAGATTTGGAAATATATTTCGTTCGTGCAAGATACGGAGTATTTTACAGTTTTTCTTACAACATACTTTCTTCGTGAAAACTTTGATTGTACTATTTGTATAATTACGTAGATATCATTGTTTGATCGTAGACTGCATTTATAGGAAATTGAAAAGAGAAGAAAATATATTTATATGACACATGTGATGTGCAAAATATCGAAAGTACAATGATTTCAGCAATATTTGATATGTAATACAATTTTCAATTTTTACCAAGATTCTATTCTTTTAAATTACAGTCTCAAAGAATTTAAATTTGCATAAAGAATTAGCAGTCTAGTTATAACACGCATAATAAAAATATAAAAATATATAAAAGTCCACAGTTCAGTCACCGTGTATTTTAAATATTTCATTCGACGCTGTAGTTAGAAGCGATGGAAAATTTATTTGTGCAGATTTGCTATTTAGCGGCGACGCCGATGTACATAATTACTGTTCTAAAACGTTTCTCTAAATGCAATACAAAAGACTTATTTGCCAAATGTAATAGATTCACGGGACTGTATCGATGAAATTGATGTATGCAGTAAAATGTTCTTAGACAGAGTGAAACACGGAACGATGTTTAGCAATTAGAAGCGGTCGAGAAAGGGTGGAACAGGAGGGTGGAGTTCGTTTCGTCCTGAATCCGTTAATGGACTTGTCAGTAACATATAGGGACGGGAAAGAATGGGTTGATCGGATTGCCGGACCGAGGATTCGAATCGAGATTTTTCATTTGTAGAACGATTGCACTTGCAATTGTGCTATCTCCTCTGTCGACGAACACCCTGCTGCCAATCTGAAAAAATTTTTTTGAATTTACATTTTGAATCACGAATCCACCACCGTTCCCTTTCGGATAATCCGATCCTTTGCCCGCTCGGCTATCGGAAAAAGATCAAATTTTATTTGCTTCCATTTTCTCGTTTACTCTCGTTACCAGTAATATTTACGACGACTTAAACGCGGAACGCTTATTCCGTCAAAGCGTATTTATCTAACAGCTAATCAAAATGCAATGAATGAGAAAAGTTTACAATACAACGAAGAGTACGAGATTTTATTCACGTTATTTTAGGAAACTAACATGCACTTTGCCTTGTACGATACGTCCGCGGTGAATTTTATAACGCAACGAAGAGCAAAAAATTTTAGGAAGAATCATTCAAATTTCCGAAAAGTACACCGATGTAAAAATTTCTAGAAAAATACCACGCAGAAAGAAAATGGGAGGAAAGGAAGGGAAAAAAGTAAAAGATGTCGAAAGAAAGGCAAACAAATTCTCACGGGGAGCATCTGCGACGTTTCCCCGTTAAAATTCGCCGGCGAAGACCGCAGGACTCAATGCAGTCGCAGATTGCACGGAACGCCTACTGTTCAGCTAGCGATTAATTAAGGCAACATTCAAAGACCAGCTGTCGTTCGGTTGAAAATAGGTTTTCAACGGGGGCTGGGCGGAGAGGACATCGCGCGATTTGCAACAAATGCGTTCACGTTGAAACAATTTGTTCGTTTGATAGGGACCAGGCGCGCGGGGACCGACAAATTTCGCGTCACGCGCGACTCGCGGATTATTTATGTTACAGATTTTATTGTCTCGTTTATCGGTACGCGGTGTCGATGGGCTAAATCGGATCCCAACGACGTAACGTGTCATTTTTCGGACTCGCCGGTGGAAATATTCTCGTCGTACTCGCGCTCATGTTGTTAAAAAATATAGAAAAGAGAGAGAGAGGGGAGAAGAACACCGGGAGGAAATCGGTACATTTGTATGAACGAACGGGATTGAAAAAACAGTGGACCGTTCGATTGTGCTGCAGCCGATCGCGGACGTTGTTAAACTCGAATTAGTCGGCCGGATTCGATTTTTATCGGACGCCGCTGTCCTCGGTTGTCGAACCATGCGCGCTTCTTGATGCGCTGATTCGCTGTGATTGTTGAAGGATCGATGAAAAGACATTTCGTGTAACGTTTTTGTTACGATACGTTGTAACGGCGGAAGTGTAACGAGGCTGGATTAAAACGTGACAGACCGATGTTCACGTTTTTCCTTTTTTTTTCTTTTTTTTTTGTTTCCGTCCTCTCTACTCGAATGTTTTAACTCTTTTGGTGCCGAACGACGAAAGTGACAAAGTGAAAATGACGAGTCTTTATTTGTCGGATGATGCGCATTATCGAATTATTATTTACTTATCTTTTGAAATACGATGGTCTTTAAATTCTGTAATTACATTAAGCGGTCCCCGCTTAAGTGTCGATAATCAGAAAAGCGGACGGTTAAGTAGAAGTCTATTCTGCAAAATGTTCGTATCAATCGAATATCAGCTGATATTTTATAGAAATACCACCTCGCATTTTATTGTGCGAGATATAATTTCGAAGAAGCGACAAAAACTTAAATGAGAGAAAGTGGAGACTACTGTATACTCTATATCGAATTCGTCGGAGGACAAGAGACAGTAATATTCAACGTTAATTTGTTTCGTATAAACACGATTTTACTATACTTCATTCGTCAGTATAAAATGCGCAATATCGGTATTTCCGCAGTAATGAATTTCTCTTTGACTTTTTTTGTTCAAGGATACGAATGGGTAGGCTGGAGAAACGACACGCCAAGCATGCTCGGCCGTCCTGTTGAAATAACCTTCGAATTCGACTATTCGAGGAATTTCACTGCCATACACTTGCACATGAACAATTACTTCACCAAAGATGTGCAGGTACGTTGAACATTCTAACTCCATTTCGAACGTATCTCGAACATAGATATACGGTGGAAATGTTTTCTCGGGCAGATATATATATATATATATATATATATATGTATGTACACATACGTATTTTCTTCCGCGCGTTATTACCTGGGAATTCACTACGAATTCGATCGCGCGCGCGGGGCAGACGATATTCAATCGTGCTTCCTCAGATTATTCCGATTAATATTCCAATATTAATATTCCCTTCTGCGCGGTGATCGATGTTTGCTCAATCTGTACAAACTCGCAACCGAGAGTCCATGAATTCGTTATGATTCATTAAAGTTCGCGGATGACTGGTTAATGAGCGAGAAAGACGTGGAAATCGCCTTCGGAACGTTTCCATTTCCGAACGAGCGCGCGTTATCTTAACGAACCGCGGCAAGCTTCGTCGAAGAATTTCCACGGGTCGTTCTCTTAGAACGCGAACGGAACTTGGAGCGATGTCGCGTCGTTGTTAAACTCGCGATATCCCATCCCGGTGATTCGCTCTCTCGGAATCCGCGCGGTTTAAGAATAAATTCACCGGTCTGTAAAAAGAGGCGTTTTATTTACCGCGAGAGACAAGCCGTCCGGCGAATGAAATTTCTCGTCCGATCGGGCCGAGAACGAGGTTTTTTTTTTTCTTTTGTGCGCAAGGGAACGATATTGCCATCTCGGTCAAATGTTATTATATTTCGTTTCATGCACTCATGCGATATGCGCGTAGCAAATGATGGCGAAAGTGGAAGATAAAGAAAGGAAAGGAGAAGACGAAGGAGGAATGAAAGGAAGAAGGAAAAGAGGAGGAAGCGTTTCCATTATATTAAACGATAAGTTTTCCGTAATCTTCCGCGGTAGAGAACGGGTAACGGGGATTCGCGTTGTTTAAAGAAAGGGTTATACAATCGTATCTTTTTATACGTCGTCGTATCTTTTATACTTTCGTGCAATAAATCGCATTCACGTGAGCAGCATCTTACCACGGTCCAATTGTTAGGCTAACGTTAATGATTTCAAGAATATTTATCTAGAACTTTTTCTCCTTGTTCCTTTTGTTCCTTTTAATTTAAATTGTGCTAATAATTTCAATTCGAAAGAAAACAAGAAAAGAAATCATCCATTTCAACAGTATTTTAAACAGTAATCGTGTGAATGGTCGCGCAAAATATTGTTAATTTTGTCAAGAAAATACGTTGTAATTCTTTTTTCTTCAATTTGTGCACCCGCGCAAGGACAAAAGCGTAATATTAAAAAAGAGAGAGAGAGAAGGAAAAAGAAGTGAGGCATTTCCATCACGTTCGACGATTTCCTCGCTTGTTTATTCGTCCACCGATCGCTTCATCTTCGGCCACGACCGAGACGATCGTGTTATCTCTACGCACACAAATACGCACACACGATTCCTCCGCAGGTCTTTTCCTACGCGAAGGTTTATCTTGGCGCCGGTGGAAACCAATTCAACGGCGAGCCAGTCCATTTCTCGTACATACCGGACCTGGTGTTGGAGCAGGCACGTGACGTTACCATAAAGCTTCACTCGCGCGCCGGCCGTTTCCTCAAGCTTCAGCTTTATTTCGCGGCGCGCTGGATCATGCTCAGCGAGGTAATCTTCGAATCAGGTAAGGGAAACACAAACGGATCAATCGATAAAAATCTATTTTTCATCCCTTCGATTCGTGAATTCGAGACGCGTATGTATGCGTATGTGTGTATACTTTGGCGCGGGAAAAAAAAAAACAAAGACGAAAGGATGAGAGGAAAAAATACAGAGACGTCGGCGTCTCTAGGAAGATAAGGCGAGAGAGAGAGAGAAAGAGAGAGAAAGAGACACCGCGCGAATCGTGATACTGAGATATCGGGAACGAAATAACTTCACGGATTTCAAGGCTGCCAAGGAAACTTCGCCGCGAGTGGAAACCGCATCCGGCGCACGTTTCCGAGCCGTCGTTCGCGAACTTTTGGATCAAGAAACGGATGAGTTCGAAAGTCCCTCTCTCTGTCTCTCGCTAGCTCGCAGAGCGACACCAGCCCGGTCGATTCGATTTCCAATCTTTGGTGACACGTTCGCGCGCCGTGACGATAGAATCGTTGGAAAAGATGAGGGATAATCAGGCAGCTGGGTGCAAACGACGATACGTCACAACGTATTCTGATGGAACGATGAATTCCTGAACGCGGCTGACAGAGGACGAGTCGCCGATGGAATTCTTATTCGCGTTCGTTATTAGTGGAGTCTCTCTCCATGAGCATCGCGTTGCGAATTGTCTGATTTATTTTCGAACGTTCGCGTGTTTTTATATCTTGAACTCTTGAGTCGACGAAGGGACGAAACCTAGATAGAAATTCTATATTTTGCGTATTATACACGCATGTATCTATACGTGGATGAAATTGAAGGTTCATAAAGACGACGTGAAAACTCACAAATATCAAGCGTATTCTACATTTAGCTTCTCGCGGTCGAACATGATTATAGTGGCGATATTTGAAATCCGTTTCCAATACCGAGTGTTGCGATCAAAGAGAATTTCAAATGATTATTACGCTGTTCGTAGTATCTTGCCGAAGGAATACGCCAACCGCGAAGGATTAAATTCGTAGCTCTAAATTGGATAGACTCCGAAAATAAATTTCAACCGGATACGTATGTACGAAATGCTACGTTTCGTAATTCATACTATGTAACGAAGAGACACGAGTTTGCTTATTAAAATTTAACACAGTCTCCACTTCGTATACGTTTCATCGATGCTTTGCTCATGCAACTATACGTTCCAACAGAATGATTCCACCGGATATTTGGTCATTTTAAACAAAAATTGATAGAATTCTCTCGTCTGATTTTGTTTTATCTAATTTACAGTCTTATCGCGAAATTAATAATATCAATAAATGTCATGGAGTGATTGAAGTTCGACTCGTGTGCAGAGAAAACTAACTGAAAAATTAATATCCGATTGTGTTGTGCCAGTTGCATAGTATATTTTATATTCTATTGCGGGTCGATCTCGCGATTTAGTGAAGTAGGACAAAACTTTATATTTGTTCAAGACAATGGTTCGAAAAGCTGCAGAAATTATTCAAAAGCTCAATAAGTCAATCTGTCATTATCGCACGAGGCGGGTGTGCTGATAAAACAGAAAATATAAAAATATAATTGCTTTTTAAGATTAAGATTTTTCACATTATGAAATACATTGAATAAAAATATATTATAAATAAATTTTTTTTTTTTATAGAAAATGATTTTTGAACATATTGTTAAAACCATCGTTTTAAACAACTTTTTTCTATATATAGAAACGCCTGCTTGATTTTAGTTTTCGAGAAAGCCGAGATTACGCATATAGGAAAATATTACTCAAAATATTAATTTTTACGATACATTCGAGAATCATCGAAATCAGTAAGGTCATTACTTTATACAGAACCTTCATCTGAATAATAAATTACCTGCAATTTTATTTCACGATGCAGGATACTTTTAGTTTTCAAATAACTAGCCTTCAATTATAATTACATTTTCATTTCATTAATTGTCCGATCATTTATTTATGGACGAGAGTGTAGGTTCCAAAAAGAACGTACTTGGGTTAGCAGCCAACGAGTATTAAACAACAAAAACTGGATAATAAACATCTCAAATTAAACAATAATAAACATCTCAAATTTATGTCAGAGGCGAAACCGGATTCATCCTCAACGACACTCCGTTCCAAACATTCGGAATTACGCGAGGAGCGAGAAAGAAAGAGAAAGCGCGCGTTAATTCGAAAATATTGTCGCGGCTTATAAAACATTCAAAGGCGGTCTACTCCGGTTATTCCGGTGATGTTGCTCGGTCGTCCCGGAAGTATCAGCGACCGAGGGAAAAAAGGAAGGCGGAAATATCCGCGGCACGTTGCGCGAATCAGAGCACGTGGTCGCGAAACAGAGGATTGCGGAGCGAAGCGCACGCCCTCGAGAACTTTCGTTTCCGTGGCGAACAGCGAAACCGTCGTTAATCATTCTCTTGGTGTTCTGTTCCACGTTCCCGCGAAAGATAACTTTGATTGCTTATCCTCAAAGTGGTTGGAATTCCTCCGTATCCTCCTGTCCCGCGCGACCCGTTTCCATTCCTTCCACGCGAACGTGGCGCGAATCGTCCTATTTCATTTTCCGCCCCCTATCGTCTTTGATCTTTTCTGTAATTTCGACAAACGAAAGTTTTGAAAGAGGTTTTCACTGTACATTTACATTTTTTTTTTTAAATAATTTTTAATAATTTGTCGGTAATTGTATTTATACTTCATATTTGTTATACTTATTTATTTCTATGTACACAGAACTTTGGTTGGTAGTGTGTGCAGTAAATATATACTACAATTGTAATAAATATAATAATATTATATATATTATATTATATAATTATGATATATATTATGTATTATATATAATTATAATCCTACTTTATCGAACGTGCTATAAATTCATAATCATCTCACATGCTCTACCCTTGAAACACGAAACTTGCATCTATCTTTCGTTCCCAGTAAACACAGTTCATTGTCAAAACAAAAATTTTTCAATTCTTCAGAAGATTATCCGCGGAATAGGAACGAGTTTATCATTTTAAAACGGGCACACAGAAGTGGCCGGTTATTCGCGTTGAAACGAACAATCTTAGTCGCTCTCACAAGTATCTAAAAGATCTCCCCCTTCTAAAATTACGGCGATTGCATTGACGTCAAGTTGCAGTTAATCCCTTACGGGGTGCGACCTTGAAAGCGACCGCCCCCCCCCCCCTCTTCATTCAACATTTAATTCCTTTGATAACTGAAAATTTCATTAACCTTCATCTCTGATACGCAGTGATCTCCGAATGGAACAACACCGACGACGATGAGCCGAGGAACAAGAGTGCCATTGTACTGGCGACCGGCAGCCCCTATCAGAATAACGAGGGTCCACTGCAGAGAGACGAAGTGAAGGCCACTTTTAATAAGGAGGAAAACAACGATAATGCCCGTAAGTCCGCTCGTCGATTTCTGCTATTGTTGCATCGAGGCGGTACCCTTCGTAATTTTCCGCACGATTTCCACCCTTCTTTACTATACCATCCCCCTTCCCCCCCCCCCCCCTTCTCTTCTCTTCTTTCGCTCGTTCCCTTTTTTTCCCCTTCTTCTCTCCAAGGTTGCTCTCCTTTTCGCCCTTTTCGCTTCGAATTGAATGCCGATCACGAACGCTACGCCTCTTTTTTTCGTTGTTCGATTTTCTTCCCATTTTTTCCCCATCCCCATCTTTTAGTCCGCGTTTCTTCCGCTTGTGTCGCGACGTCGAGACCTTGTTTCACGATGCTCCGTATGAGTTTCACCGCGACGAATTTCGCAGAAACAAGAACGATTTGATTTTTTTTTCGCGATGTTGCTTCGTCGCGAAGTAATTTTTGGTTGGAAGCTACTGCTCCAGTAATGGCGTCCGTCGCGTCGAGATGTTGAGGAACGGACGTTACTGCGATCGATCTGCGGAAATGCGCGAAACAGAGTTAGTCGGAGCGTGCGAAAAGTCGAGAATTTTTATTCTTGATTGTAGTGCACGCAAGATAACATCGAGATACGAGAGGCATTTGTCACTTTTAATTTCTACGAGAATTTCGAATTAAGATTTTACTCGCAAAAGTTTATATCGTCTGAAAAGTGAATATTTGGAATATAGTCTGGAATTTATTGTTACGTTGTTCAATAGTTTCACGCGCATGATAAATATTCTATTTAATATTCACCAAACACACTTACATATTTTGAAAAACATATAATACATTGAAATATATGAATCACTATAGTTTCAATGACTCTCCAAGACAATAAATCACTTGCTTCCTGAACCTTCTTCCTTCACCTAATTAGTTTTTACACAATATAATATGTACAATTCATTGCCCGTAGATTTCTGAACGTCATTTAGTATCTATTTACGATTGAAAATATAATTAGATTACCTACAATTCATCGTATCGCTATATTTTCTTTTATACCTTTAAAATACATAAATGATTCATAATTGAATTTAAAGTGCATAAATCATTCAAAATTGATCATTTCGAACAAGAATCACGGATCATAACGCACAATGCGTGCGGTGAAACGATCGCTGTACCAACAAATCGACGATCCTGTTACTTCCGTAACAACAAACTGCCGCGATCGCGATAAGTAGGAGAAAGCAGTTAAATTGCGCGCGATTCCATAAAAGCCGGATAAAGTGTTTACACGCAGGTTGCACGACTCTCGGTTGCTCCTCTCTTTCCTCGTACCTTTTTAATGCGCCGTAACGTCTCCCAGGTGTTTTCAAAAAAATTCTCGGTCCGCGGTCAAAGAAACGAAGCGGAAAAGACTCGGCGATACTCACCCGGCGGCCTCCGTAAACCGATAATGTAGCCATGCCTTTGGTTTTACTATCCCCTCCCCCTGGGTAGAAAGCAAAATCTAATTAATTTCTTTTTATTCCTATTTACCGGCTGCCCCGTCGTCGGAGCACTTCGCTTTGAATTGAAGTGTTAAAAGAAGTAACTCCGGAGTACTGACCGCCATTCTTCTATCGCCCGTTTCGTTCGGTAAATCGTCCGGTTGTCTTGGAGTTTCTTCTTCTTCTTTTTTTTCCCCTGCCCCCCCCCCCATCTCCTTTCGCCTCTTTTCTACGTGATCCATGCCTCGCGCATTAAGTTCAATTGATCGTTATAGTGCCTCCTGTTCGATCGACTTTCCATAAAGGGAACCAATCGAATTATATTGGACTTCTCGCGTGTTTAAGATCCGATTAATCGGTCAGTTTAGAACCCACGCGACGAATATCGAATGGAGGTTTTTCTAAGTACATGCACCGCCGGAGATTGAAGAATTTTCTATGTCACTTATTTCAGTTTGGTGAAAATATCGGTAAATGGGATAATGTGTAAAATATTTTGGGACAAGAGCGGCGCAGAGATATAATAATAACAGAAACATGGAAATGTAAAAATGTAAAGAACGTAGAGAGATAGGATAATCGTTCGTATTAGGTTCCATGCGTGCGCGCTACTGTTAAAATAAATTATACAAATGAACTTGCAGAATTTTTTCTCTATTTTCACAAGTTCATTTGTGCAATTTATTTTAATATTTCTCCACTGTACAAACATAAAATTGCAAAAATAAAAAGAAGTATTTATTTATTTTTTAAGTTTCAAGTATTTCTATATAATTTTGTAGAAATAATAATTAATACAGACAATTCTCCTATATTTGTACAAATTGTAATTAATACAGACAGTTACCCTATGAAAATACAAAAGTATAGAAATTTCCATTGTTTCGTTATTAGTCTTAACACTTAACTATTGGCCAAAGAAGAGTTGATTCCCTCTGTAATTAATAATTACAGTGACCAATAGTAATTACAAGCTCGCGGAACTTCTCTCTGCTGCGTTACTGAAAGAAAATTAAAAGCCTTTGCATTCAATCGATGAGCATGCAAGAACTACGCCGTTCAGCTTTCCATGCGATGAAACCAATATTCCGTTTCTTGCATAACGATTCTCAGCTTGCAAAGGGTAGTGGAAGAAGCGGATGGGAAGCGTTACGAAGCGTAACGTTCGCTTTTCTCTTCGTGCATTCGCACGAGGCAGCGTATGAGAAACAAAAGGAAAAAGAACAAGGCGGGCGTTCATAGCGTTCTCAAGTGAAGCACGAAACTGTTTGAAAATTTTCTTTCGAATATCAGGAAACAACGAGGAATAATGAAACAACGTTCTCCCGAATGTTCCCCAGTTGAAAAAAGAAAGCAATTGGCGTTCTAACGAGAAAGGCAATTCCCGTTTGATTATAATTGCTCGCGATTAGTTTACAAACTATTACGAATTATAGATAACGCGGGTTAAAGGTTAATTTGGAAGAATTGAAATTCATACTAGTGTAGTTGGGATGAATGTCTCTTTTCTTTTACAAACTTCATACCGTCGCTTCTCATCGAATCATTTTTGGTTGTTAAAAATCGAGTTTGAAAATTTACTATCTTTCACACCGCTAAAAAAAAATTTTACCGCGATCGGGCCATCAGTGTCGTTCAAGAGAATGCTTCTCGCTTATCTTACGGCATTGCGTGAATATAAAATTTAATATAATGTAAAAATTTATACATATAGAATGTAAAATATATTGAATTCCTGAGAGAACGGAGGTTTTTCTCTGTTTCTTTTTTTTTTTTTCGTTTCGTTTCGGTTTCACCATCGGCGTCGAGGTGCGCGTTGAATGACGGTAAAATGACAGACGATGGACATTCGATCCGGCAATAAAAGCAATGGATCGATACGGCGCTGATCGATCGTGATCCAATTACGACGAGCATGATGAACGCAATCATCATTATCAAGCCATCGTGCATTATGCGAGGTTGCCTTCACGATAATATCCAACGTGATAGGTCGTGTACTTTGGCATATTAGGTGGCCAACCTGTAACGCGGACAGATAGAGAGAGAGAGAGAGGAGTGCGTGCGCGTTTCGTGCATCGCGTACAAACGTTTGCGACCGTGGCTCGGGAAATGCGTCAAAATCGAACGCACGCAAACGACGTTTTGCTCTTTGTTAGTTTGCATCGATTGCTCGATTGCCAGCCAGTTACTGGAGAATCAGATCTTATCTGCGTGGCGGGGGAAACGGGGAAGTTAATGGCGAATCCAACGCTGCAAATGGTTAGATGATCATTTCGCTCGCGATAGTATCACGTTCGCTGGGAATCCACGAAAAGCGTTGGCCAATTTGAAAGTAAAAAGTTTCCGTCTTCGCGCGAGTATTTCACACTTTCACGGAGTAGCATAAAGATAGTTACGTGTGTAATGCAGTATTGATTAAGTAAATTTGATTATCCCGTGGTTAATAGTTATCTCTTAACATTCGTTGCATTTGTTTGGTAGTTTTCTAGTTTCCTTGCTTCACGATCACGCCATATTTAAAAGACAGTTGCGCATACTAGTAAATCACATGTATAATTATAATTTAATTATATTATATAATATAATTCCCTGTGCAATGTAAATATATGTAATATAATGTAATGTAATCACGTGAATCACATATTATATGATAAACATCAGAAAATAATTAAAAGTACGAAGTAAAATTATCACGGACGATGGTAGTAAGTTTGCATTTTATACCTAACGACAACTAATGCAGCACAACTCGTTCACAAATACACGCCTCGCTTCAATAACCCTCTCGTCCCTCGCAAAACGCATCCCTCTTTTCTATTCGCGTGATTTACCACTCCAAACACTCTTAGTATTCATCCCCATGACCAAATGCATCCCTTTTTCTACGTCGGGCCCGTTAGCGTGCCGCTAGACCTGACTACGTGTTGGGTTTTCTCAATCGGCGTGCATTTGCAGTTCTTCTGTCCTATTACCTCTTTATCCATGTTTCTTAGTCTCTCGCAACGCTAAACACGTGCAAATGAAATGTACAAAAATGTAAAACGAACTTCAATGGTCGTAAAAATGATATGTTCTATTTTGAAATAATTTGAAGCATCTTTCATTGGAGATAAAGAGGATATTTTGGTGTTCTGTTTGAGATGAATATATCAACTCACAAATAAACTTATTATTAACAACTGATTATAATTATTATATTTAATTAATATGTATATTAATGTATTTATTAATTTACATATTATTAGTTCCAGACAAAAGCAAGGAGCCAGAATCGAAGCAGTTCGTCGGTCTGGTTATCGGCATATTGACCACAGTGATCGTAATGCTTCTGGCGGCCATCATGTTCATCTTTTATAGAAACCGGAGGCTGAAAGCTGCCCTCGCGCCTTCGACGTTCTACGATCAACACGGCGACTTGAAGGTAAAGAATGTCCCTCGAACGTAATTTATTTCATTCTTTTCATGTGAATTTGACGGATTGTGTGTATGAATCCACGTTTCAAGCAAGATCGCAGGTACAAACCAGGTAGAAAATTAGTCATTATCAGCTAGGGCGTTTCGATTCTAATTTCCACCGTAAATCACGCGTATTTTCGCTCCGCTCGAGCGGAATTGCAATACAAACATAGGAAGCGCAAAATAGGGGAGAGAGAGAGAGGAGAGCCTCGAACAAACAACAGGGTCGCAGAATGTTCCGGGCGAATTCAATCAGGCTTGCGAATCCATCGTTTAAAACTTTCGAATTACCATCGTTTCAAAGTTTACATTGACCGAGTCTCATTTAAAATCCTGCTCCGGATCGGCCGCCATTTATTTTGCCTTTTGCCGTTTCCTGCTCCCCCCCCCCCCACTTTGCCTCGATCCATCGCGCGGACAAAAGCGAAATCGTTAGAAACGCGAGACCGCGAAGGAAATGAGGCGTTCGAACGCAACCTCGTTAACGATCAACTAACTAATTGCTTTAATTCGAAGTCAGCAATTTGCCAAACGACCGTGGCCGATCTTGTGTCACCGTTTCCGCGTTATCGTGATTTCCCTCCGCTGTCGCGGATCTGTCCTCTGGCCTCTGAAACCCGATACGATCAGATCACGATCCCCGCAGGACTTTACCAGAGGTATTCGCGTTCGATTCTCGTCGCGATCGCTTTCAATTTCGGTCCGTTCGTTCGAGAAAGTAGCAGCATCGGGGGGAAACTTTCGTGAAAAATCGTTTTAATTTTGAGCGAGAGGGATGCTATAAGACCGCAGTGAAGTTTCTTCCTTATTTCAATCCACAATTTCACCAATCACCATGGAACGATTTGATCCAATGAACGAACGATCAAACTGTAAACCTGTCCTGTGAATTTTCGCAATTTTGTTTCATTTTTACAGACTCTTCATTCGCATTCGATTATTGTCCTTTCGATGATATTATCATTTGGAAAGTTGATCGTTTCTAATCAAATATTCGGTTCAGAAAATCTTAGATTCTGATTGAAGTAATAGTTTGACTGTGTTCCTCACGGCTAGTGTGAATCAGGCTTAATAAAGTGAACGGCGGCGGCGCGGCGGCGCGGTTATTTGCTCTCCGTTTTCACGGTGCGTTCGACGAAAAGGCGTTTGAGCAATCATGGAAAAACGTCTTCGTCGTGTCGGACGCGTTGAAGCCGGATGCGAGGCGTACGAATGAAAAAGAGAGAAGGAGAACTAAGGTGGGGCTTGGTCTGGTCAAATATTTTCCTTGCAGCTGGCGAAAGAGCAAGTGGGATTGCGCATCGATGGTCGAAACGAGGGATCAAAGCGGGTCCCTTCGATAAATAGCCTGCAGCATGTAACAAGCCCGAATATGTTTTTTACAGCCGAGTATTTTAATTGTATGGCGGTTGTTGGTTACGTTTATTGATGTCAGCATATGTTTTCATTCGTGGTTTATTACATAAACGTTTGAGAAATTTTTTTCAAAATTTCCTTGTCCTTGTTTTGGGTTCATATTATAAATCATATTATAAAACTCAAGTACACATTTTGTGCGCGAAACATACAAAATGTGATGTTAGAATAAAATCAACATGCATTGGTACACTAATTTATTGTTTTCAAAAAAAGAGAAAAAGGAAATACTTGTATGCTTGAATGCTAGAATTGTATTAATTGAAGACTGAAATGAATCACTATTTAGATACCACTGTTTTACTTATGTATAACGAACATCTGCAGTGGCGGATTTTTTTCTTCATGCTCGGATGGAAGAAATCTAATAATTTAGAGAAATCTAATTATTAAACTCAAAATTTAATAACAATTTCCTTGCTTAAGAATTATATAAGAATTATAGAATTATATTATATTATATTATATAATTCTATAATTAAGAATTCTATTATATATGAATTTAAAAGTTATAATATAAAATGGACAAGCTTTAAATATTTTGAAATGTATAAAAAAAACATTTCTCAACTCGATAAAACAAATGTTAATAATTTTATTCTAATTGATCTTTTAATACCAGTATACACTTCTAATGACAATAGTGATTTCCTTGCTTGGAGTATTTCAGTATTACACACTGTGTAAAGGAAATGAACGTGTGTCTGCAATTGGCCAAAAAACGTGCAGTAATAAACAGCGAAATAAAAATGCATTAAAAACGTAGCCAATATTCTATGTATTGTGGAAACGATACAATCTTTATACGAACGAGCGAAATGTGTTTGAAATGGAGTGGTGTATAAATAAAAGGTACTTACTTTTAATCTAGAGTGTTCAAAGATATGAGAGAAGAATATTTGGACAGTATGATCGGGATTATTTGAGCATAGAATAAAAATGGAGTAAAAAGCAAGGGAAAGCAAATATAAAACGGAGCTGCAAAGGAGAAAGAGACTGATCAAAAAATAGAATGACATGTCATTTTTAATTCTCGTTTGAAATAATGTTTTGATTGTCGAATAATTAATAATTCTCATTGGATATCATTGGATATATATATGTGTGTGTACATGTATATATGTTCTTAGAAATATTTCAAAGTACTTGGAGCACGTAGCAGGATTATAAGAGAAGGATCACTCGTGACCTATCAAGCCGATGACCTACATCGGTGCTGTCCAAGTTAAGCTGTGGAGCTTAAACAGTCCCCTTCACTCTCTGTCTCTATTTACTAAAGTACAGAATCACTAGCTGACACCAGCTTCAACATAATACACGTATTATTGGCACAGACTCGCGCTCCTCCAAAGAATAAATCTGTCTTGGTGGCGGCTAAGAAATCCAGTTTGTGAAAAATTTTTTTACTTCGTGGTAGCAACGAGAATGATTGAAAACTGAATGAATTGAAATTTGGAAATGAATTTTGGAAAAAGACCCACTTTGAAAATCATATAAATCTTTTATTAGTCAATTAATTTTGAACAATTGATATTTATTCATTTTGGTAGTTTCTAATGAGAGAAATAAAGAACACACGTTTTCATCCATATTTGCTATATTTCAAGATTTCGAAAAATGCGCTGTCGTAAATCTAAACAAAATTTCCACGAAGGATTATCGATTGGTCGTTTTAATCACTCTGCTGTTTTGTTGGTCACCATATTCATTCCGCCAGTGTTTAAAATTAATTTACGATATATTTTAAAATTATTAATCGGTCGTTCTGACTTCGCCGGTAGTTTCGATGTTAAAAATTATTCCCAACGTGTACACGTGGAGAAATTGCTGAATTAATAATCGTCCGTATTCCTAGCTTTCGATGATAAAGGACGAGGAAGTATTTAGTGACCCGTGGTGAACATCGCAGGATTAATAACAAGCTAAGCTTGGTCCGCGTGAACGGGCAGCCACGACCCTTCCTCTTGGACCCTTTCTCCAAAGTGTACAGAAGACAGTAATTAACAGATTGATGAGAAATAATAGGAGCCAGACGGTGGCGCTCGATTCTCCCTTGACGCTCTTCGAATCTGTTCTCCAGAAGCGAGTTCTCTTCTGTTCTCAGCACAGAACGGAGATACAATGCTCTGACGTTTACAATTCGAGACGTGACGTCAGGGTTATATTAAAACCGGTAATAAACATTAATTAAATCTCCGCGTTTCGCGCTAGACGTGTCGAATGCGCGATTTATTGTTTCAGGAAGCTCGAGTTATCGTTCTCGCATTGTGCGCTACAGCGGGGCACAATGGACGTCAGACAAAGGAGCTGTACAATATGTTTTTTGATAAATAGCACGGTGTACAATGCAACTGTACGAAAATTCTATTAAAGAGAAAAAAGACATTGTTGTTTCAAATTTTTTTCAATTTCGCGGAACGTTGAACGTCGAAAATTCAAATTTACTCTTAGCCGTGCTATGGTAAAATGTAGCACTGGAAAAGTGGAAGAGGACATTCGAATGAAAATCTGGGGATAAATTTTTCCTTTTTTTTTTTTTAAACGCGTGAAGCATCGGCATCTTCATTTTCTAAAAATTTCGAACTTTACCGTGTGAAATCAAATGTCGCTCTTCCGTGTTTCCCCTATTTTACAATTCTACTCCCATTACGAAGTATTAGATCGTTGCGGAATGAAATTGTCAATTTCTTGGTAAAATGTTTCATTTCTATTCAATTCATACGAAAATAATATTTATTAATTACATTATAATTCAGTTCACTAGATTCGATACATTTTGACTATCGTGAGATAGAATTACAAATACCATTTTCATAGGTTTTTTTTTCCCTGACTATTAACTATTTAACAGGTTATCATTATCGTTATGCGTTACGAGCAATTGTTGCTCTATTAAAACAAAGTTTAAATTACCAGTATTCCTAAAATTTTAATATTTCTAAAAGAAACTCATTCGAATTCAATCGTAGATATGACACAATTGCTTAGTTTTGATTTAGTCTTTGCGCAATAAATCTACCATTTAGTTCTGAGATTTAACCCTTAAACGCAGCATTGCAACTCCAGAAAAATTGTCGAGGGTTAAATCATTGACCAACAAACGTCACTGAATATTCACCAAGTCCTAAGTAATTTTTCATGATCGTGAAAATCGGCTGTTTCACAAGTAACCCAACATACCCAAATTGTCTTCAAGCAAACATCCGTGTCTCTGAAATGCGGTTGTACACGCGAAACGAGAATGGCGCGGTTCACGGGCACCAGGCTAATCTTCTCATCGGATCATTACGGAAAGAGACAAAAGCGCTTCCGGTGGGGTGTGCTTCGCTCTTATTGAGAAGTGGCACTCCCGTTGAAAGAGGTTCCTCTGCCAAGAGTCTAGGCACCCTGTCTTGTCCTCGCGTCGTTCGAGCACGACGAACCAATATAATTCTCGCTGAATAAATTCTTTCCCCTCCCCGTCCACGGATATAAAACCAGCCGAGCTGACTCCACTTAATTAAAAGAGCTAGCCGTATGGGCGTATTGTCGGCGCGAGAGACGTGCGTT